AACCTTCCTACTTCTTCCAAGGGGCGTGGCAGCTCAGTGGCTAAGACACTGAGTTTGTCGATCAGAAAGGTTGGCAGTTCAGTGGTTTGAATCCCCAGTGCCGCCTAACGGAGTGAGCTCCTGTGACTTGTCCCAGCTTCTGCCAACCTAACGGTTTGAAAGCACATAATAAAATGCAAGTAGAAAAATAGGAACCACCTTTGGTGGGAAGGGAACAGCGTTCTGTGTGCCTTTGGCGTTGAGTCATGCCAGCCACATGACCACGGAGACGTCTTCGGACAGTTCTGGCTCTTCGGCTTTGAAACAGAGATGAGCACCGCCCTCTAGAGTCAGGAACGACTAGCACATATGTGCGAGGGGAACTTTTACCTTTACTTTTACTTCTTCAATACATACAATGCTAGTTATCCATTATGGTCGCTTAGATGAGAAATAGAGAAAAACTCAAGATTTGTGTATTTAGCAAAAAGCAGAATTCTGGGATGGCAAAAGTGCAATTTATTTACAAAACCAGCAGTGCATGGTACACCTGACAAGGCCTAACCCAAGTCCCATTTCTATACACACTTACAGAGTATTTTACACACACACACACAAACATATGCACACACGCACATATACAGAAGCAACATACGTTGCTTTTCCCCCCTATGTACAAAGACATTTACAGATCATAGAAAGACAGTTGCTCATTTGCTCATACTTTAAAAAAAAAGCTAATAACAATATTAATACATATTTAAAAGGCTTCGAAAGGCCTGGAGTCTGTTGAATTCACTCCCAAAGAGTCCCGTTGCGATAGTTGAGAGATTCAGAGGAAGGGGGGCGGGGAGAAATTAAAATAGAAGTTTTGGACCCCACAAATTCTCTATCGGGTTTCGAGGAAAATCAATATTTCTTTGCAAATTGACCCTTAGAGAATTTCTTTTCAAAACCCTGCTCGCTCTCGGGATTTGTCCAACATGCTGAAAGGGGTCACTTAAAGACTTGTGTGTGCACAACGTGTAAATTTGTGGTTATCTTAATGCCATTGGGCATGTTGTGTAAACCCAGCCCACTTAGTTCACTTCTGTAGCTTATTGGTTCATTAACCTATTACAGGCAGCCTTTCACTTGCAACAGTTTCATTTAGTGACCATTCAAAGCAGGGGTGGGTTTCAAATTTTTTTTAGAACCTCTTCTGTGGGTGTGGCCTCTTTGTGGGAGTGGCTTGCTGGCCATGTGACTGGGTGGGAGTGGCTTGGCAGCCATGTGACTGGATGGGCATGGCCAACTTGTAAAATGCGGTGAAATTCACAACAACGCTCTTGCTTAGAAACCAAAAATGTTGGCTCAGAAACTCTGGCATTGAAGTGTGCAAGTCTTAAAGCTGTCACGTTACAAGACCCTCGCATCCCGAACCCTTTAGAAAAAAACCCCAGGGGTGTTCAAACTTGACAGCTTTAAGACTTGTGGACTTCAACTCCCATAATTCCTCTTCCAGTTATGTTGGCTCAGGAACTCTGGCATCGAAGTGTGCAAGTCTTAAAGCTATCAAGTTACAAGACCCTTGCACCCCTAACCCTTTAGAAAAAACTCCCAGGGGTGTTCAAACTTGACAGCTTTAAGACGTTACGGTTTAGATAGGACTCTTAGAGGCAGGCGGGGCATTTGGTGAGCCAGCCAATCAATGAGCAGCAGGCAGGGCATGGGGAGGGAGCTGGAACCGGTTCTAAACGGCACGGTAGATTTGTGGAACCTCTTCTATAGAAGAGGTTATAACTGGCAGGAACTCACCCCTGATTCAAAGTTACAACGACACTGAAAAAAGTGACTTACAACTGTTTTTCGTTCTTGCAACCACCATCTGGCCACGCAATCAAAATTTGGACGCTTGGCAACTGACTCATATTTACAACGGGCGTAGTGTCCCGGCATACAGGGGTGGGATCGGTGTGCGCATGTGCAGTTCAATTAAAATTGTTCTGCACATGTGCAGAACTAAAAAGCAAGATGGCGGCAGTGAGGGCAGTGACCAGGAACCGTTTCAGGGGCGTGGCCAGCCTGGCTCACTGCTGGTTCCAGTAACCACTACTGGTTCGGTTGAACTGGGCCGAACCAGTAGGAACCCACCACTGGTCCCCCGGGGTCATGTGATCAGAGGTCATATTCAGCCAGTTTGGACTGGCTCGTCCAAACCAGTCACAGGTGGGCCTGCCCAGCCACCCCGGTTCAATGCCGTCCTATTTAGGCACTTTTTCGAGGCCGGGTGCATGTGCGGAAGGCAGGCACGTGCGGGGCTAACCGGTGGTAACAAAATGTGAAACTCATCACTGCGTGTGATCCTTTTGCGACTATGTGACAAACCAAGTCAATGGGGAAGCGGGATTCACTTAACTCCCATCTTACTAGCTTAACAACTGCAGTGATTCACTTAACAACAGGGCGGGAAAGGTGGCAAAAGGGGGCAAAACACACTTAGCAAATTTCTCAGTAACATAAATATTTGGGCTCAATGGCGGTCGTAAATCGAGACTCCCAGAGGCCAAAGACAAAGCTATGTTTGCAGCAGGTTCGAAGGGGTTGTGTTGTGTTTGTTAGCTCCGTTGTGGCAGTTCCAGGAACTGCATGTCTGAATGAGCCATTCTGAGATGTAGTGAGTCTTCACATCATTGACCCAACTAGGGTCCAAGCCAGAGGTGCGTTCCTACCTGTTCACACCAGTTCGGTAGAACCAGTTCGTCAAATCTACCGAACCGGTTAGAAGAGGTTCCACCAGCGGACCCGGAAAACAGGCCACACCTACAGAAGAGGTTCCAAATTTTTTTGAAACCCACCACTGACTGACTGACTGACAGACAGACAGACACAGAGAGAGAGAGAGAGAAAGAGAAAGAAAGGAAAAAGCAAAGAAATAAAAAAAGAAAAAAGGAAAGAAAAAGTGAGAGAGAGATGAAAGAAAA